CAAGTTTAATTAAGGGCCCAAGGTCGGTTTACTTAGTAGTTATTGCTGTATTCTTGCTAGAAAGTTTTTTACTTTTTGTCCAGTTTTGGTAAAATGATCTACGGAGAAGAGTAAAAACTGTTTTTTATATATAGTAATATTAAGATATATAAGAACTAATAGATATAATAGATATAATATGTATAAAAAATATAATAGATATAATTAGAGATGTTATCCTGTTCCAACTGGTTAGTTTGTATTCATAAACTCAATTTAATACTGTTTGAAGCATATATATAAAACTGGTTATTGGACTCGGTTTATACAAATATATTAACATTAATAATTGTGTTTGCTTGAACAATTTAATAAAGCCTGCTATTTATTGAAGCAAATACTTTGTAAAATATACATATTATGCATATATAATATTTATTGCAGTTATGTATTATTTATTTATTGACCTGCACAATAGTATCTAGTTTAATAATATTCTACACAATCGATGATGCCTGATTCATACCATGTCTTTAAACAGAAACTTGCAGATGCATTTTCTTCAGATAGTCGATTATGGATTGGATTAATTGTATTTTTGGCTTTGAAAAACATTTCTTCGCTAGATACAGAGGTGGCTTGCACAACCAAATAATCATGTGCCATTTATGTAAGTTCAGAATAGCGTACATCAGCTGATCATGTTTTCCAAAAGTCTAATAGATTACAATTTTCCTCAATAGCTATAAGATATTCTTTCAGAACATTGGAAGTAGTATTTAATTTTTCATTTCGATATTTTCTAAAATAATTTCTTGGGGAGTCTATATCATCTTTGGTAATAGATATGTCAAATTCTTCATATTGTGTATAAGCACTATATAGAAGTTCATGTATAGTTATTGCTATTTCACTATCAAATAATGATAATTTTATATTTGGGTCTATTACAACTGATATATAACAACAAATTCGAAGAATATTCCAATAATTATCAAGTTTTTTATGCATTCATTGTGCAATTTGATTTTTTATTAGAATTGCATTATGCAATATATTACGTAAAATACTTAAAATAGTTGGAAATATTATATGCAAATCTCCCATTGTTGGATGGGTTGATGATAATAAAATAGGAGTTGCTTTTGCCATAGGTTCAAGTAGTGTAATGAAAATCTAAAGATAAGTAAATTAATTTTATGAATTTTTAAAAAAATATATGAAATTAAAATACTAACCTCAATTTCATTCCATTCAGCTTCATCTAAATACCAGATTTTTAAAGTAGGGTTATCTTTAACAAGATCATTGACCATTTGACGAATTCAGAACATCTTTTCAATCATCATATAAGTACTGTTCTGTCATGTCAATATATTTAAGTCAGGTACAAAAAAAGATTGTTCATTTATTTTAAAGATTCTTTTAAAATCCTCAAATAAAGGTTGAGATTTGCGTACATAACTTACAAAGCTTCATAACTTTGTAACTAAATTGACAACAACTTTCATGCCTTCTATTACTGCAAGATTCAACATGTAAGCTGCACAACACACATGTTCAAATTCCTTATTACCATTATTATATTGAAGTTTTTCACAAAGCATACGTCCAAATACATCCATGCTAGATGCATTGTCCATAATTTTAGATATAATACAAGAGCAAATATTATAAAATGAAATGGTCTCTAGGATTTTTTCTGTTATATAATTACCCGTATGTCATTCATAGAGTGGTATCATATCCAATAAAATTCTTTTCATAACTTAATTTTCATTAATTCAATGAAGTGTAAAAGCAAGAAATCCAAGATTAGTGCACTAAGTCCAAACATCTGTCATAATTGAAAATTTTTGTTGATTTGAATTAAAAAAATTACGAAGTTCATTTTGTTTATTATAAAACATAGTTAAAATATTACATGAAACAAATTGCCTAGATAAAAGATAATATTGTTAAGTTAATTGGTTAATAAATCATTGAAAATCTTTGTTTTCAACAAGATAAAAAGCTTGCTGGTCTGTGATAATCTATTTTAAGAGATATTGGTTAATTTTAAACACCTTATCAGCACTATAACACTCAACATTGGCTCTAATAGTTAATATAAGTTCATTATATCAATCTGCATGATTACACCTAAAATGCGATTTAATAGTAGAAAGGCCAGTATCCATTAAGTAAGACATATTGCAATGTTTGCAATGCTGTTTATCACCAGTTTCAACAAGTTCATCCCAGAAAGGATCTTTTTTCAATCATTTTGGAGGATGGTTTGTTATTTCTGAAAGGGTTTCAGATTCAAATGTATTTTGAGAGCTCGAAGAGGGATGTTCAATTAGATTAATAAATTGTTTAAATACATTTTCTTTATGTATTTTATGAAGTTAGATAAATAAGTAAAATGGGGTGTAGTGACTTAGTGAAGTAGATAGGTTGTCAACCCCCAAGTGGCAGTTCTAGAGTTCAAATCCCAGTGATGGCGAAAATTTGCAATTCTTTCTGTGTTACAGCTAACTGTCTTCTGCGATTGGTTGGGATAGAATACCTGTAACCTATGTCATATCAGCCTGACTGGAAGGTCTAGGCATTCGTGCAATGTTGTATGAAGAAACACAAACTGGTACAGGCAGTGTGAACCCAAGATAAGTCCTTAGGCCGTGTAAATTATAGGAACCAGATAGGAGGACGGAAGCCCACTTAAAATACCCGAGTAGAAAGGTAACCCAAACTTTCGACAGTGCTACTGTAAAGACTAGACCTATGAAATAGAGCTAGAACTTGTGAAACTGGGCAAAGAGCCAGC